TTGCCACCCCTGCACTAAAATTTGTCCCATGACTAAGAACACACTGACCATCAAACCACAAACCCCAGTCTACTTCATTGTTTATGTCACTGTGTGTTTCTTGTAGAAACATCACATTAAATTCTTTTAGCTTTATGCATTCTTTTAACATCGCCCATTTATTTCTTGCCCTAAGACCATTTACATTAAGGGACCCCATTCTTAGGACATCCATAGTGAAATAGTGTAGGAAAGCAGAAATCAACAGAATTGTGAAAAGAATACCAGGAGAAGGATAGATACCCATTGTGCACTTATTTTTGTTTTCCTTTCGCAGCCCGGCGTTTCACAGCCCTGCCTGGTTTTACTCCTCCTTGCCTAATTGTTGTTATATATTTTTTTAATCTGAACCTTTTCTGCTGGGATAATACTTCTAGACTGCATTCTTGTCTCGCTTTCATAACAGATACCACAAATTTATCCCCATCTGGAAAGAACTTACCAATTTCAACACTTTTACCCTTAGTCTCATCCAAAAATGCATTAATCTGCTCAACTGAATACAGATCACTTCCACAATTTACCACATCAACATCAGCCAATGACTCATCATCTCTACAACTCTCTACAGTTGCTTCTGACGAATCATCCATCTCTTCACTTTGCCCCTCATGCGTCTCATTTTCCTGTACTTGGCCTACTACCCCAACACAAACATCACTCTTACCACCACCACCACTACAGCCTGGAACCACAGCATCAATGACAATATTTTCCAAAACAATTGGCCTTACCTCGGTATTTGTATCTGCCGTTCCAGACTGTTGCGGTGTGCTTTCCATCACAATCTGCGGTGCATCAGGTGTTTCAGTTTGGCCTCGCTCTTCATCATTACGCGCTTTGTGCGGACAAGTGAAACGTTTATGACCAATATCCCCGCATTCAAAACAACGCAAAGTCTCCGTACTAGCATACACCATATATGAGCTCTCTCCATGAGGTATCCGAAAAGATACGTCAAGCGTTTTTAGTGGGAGAGCTCAAAAACATGTAAACGTGTCTTCTAAAAGATAGCACGTGCTTCAGTGCAGCGTTTTTGCACCCTAAAGGAATCTCTTTTATAGCGCCGGCAATTTTACCAAATCTAGTCAACTCTTTAATAATAATCTCATTGCCGACGAATGGGGGCACATTTGAGATTACAATTTTCGTTGCCGGTGCTGACAACGGTGTAATCGGCACATACGTTTCATTGATCCATATTCCACTTTCAATTAAGGTTTTTACTTGATTTTCACTTTTCAAAAAAACAACGACCGCCTTGTTCATTCTTGAAGCAGAACTAATATTATCATTACCAACCTTGGCTCCTACCGCAAGGAGAACATCCTCAATAGAAGTATTCGCCTCCGGGGCGCACCTGAAACCATTTCGGAGGGTGAGAGGCGACGCTCCCCCCGCGGGGGGAAGACGTCATACGGCCTCACCACACACACACCCACCCCACGTTGAACTTATCCCTACCCTAACCCCTAAATATGTGATCAGATGTGTAAAACAAAAGGAAAATAAAGAAATAAAGAGAAGAAAGAAAAGCTTGAAAACGCAAAACGCTCTCCCACACGTGTCTCTCACACACGCACTCACTCCCAACATCCGCTCCGAAAGAGAGAGAGAGAGAGAGAGAGAGAGAGAGAGAGAGAGAGAGAGAGAGAGAGAGAGAGAGAGAGTGTCTATTTGTGTGAATGTGCGTGTCACAAATCATAAATTGTTTCTTCAACTTATTAAAATATCTTATTTTACTGCAACTATCTGTTTCTGCTTCTTTATCATATTTATAGTGTGTGATTTATAAAACACATTATATCCTTCATCATACATATTGTGTCTGGTCACTTTAAATCTTATCAGAATATTATATTACTGTTAAGCCTACTATGGATAATAAAATACGCGAACCATTGTGTCCTGTATCATAGCTACAAAAAAAAAAAAAAAAAAAAAAAACAGCGTGAAAATCAGTTCAGTATTCAGTGAGATATGATTAATTTAATCCGCTGGCAGCTCATTTCACCATATTTACACTGAGCGGAGCGGATGACCGTCTACCTATGGTGCTGACAATAAATCGGATTGGTAACTGTTATGTCTTCATGACAAGAAGCACAAGCTAGTAGAATTCTCTCAATAAACTTTTTAATAACTGATGTACAAGCAGAATAACATGCAAGCACATGTAAGCACAAGCACAGCATTCACTCTCCTTCTTCACTCTTTTACTACAGCACATATCTCTCAGCTAAGGCGCTTGAGTGCCACCTAGTGGATTATTAACGTAAGGATATGACATTTTCCCTTCTTAGTTAAATGAATTCTTCCTGTAGCCAACAATTGACATGAAATATAAACAAAGAAAATCCAACCCGTAATGTATCAACAATTTCACATGTATAAGAATACACTAAGCAACACATTACATGAATACAAAGGTGCATTTAAACAATGTGAACAAAACTACTCAACTGCTATTCAGTCCTTGAATATTTATGCGTGTGTAATGTGTGCAAAAGTCCATGTCAATTTCTGAGACTAATAAACATAATCTTTTAGCCAACCTGGCTCACGTCTTTGACGTGTCCCACGTGAACAAGCATCAGAAGACACTGAGTTTCCAGACAGTGGAACTTGAGAAGGAATCAGGTTTTCTGCATTTGTGGTCAGTCTATTATCTGTTGCATTAAGTCGGCACAGATGCAAGACACGATGCATGCCACTTCTTTCCATCATCCAAGAGGTAGGTGTAAGGACCAACTTTTTCTCTAACCTCAACTGGAGGAGTGAATCGTGGGTGTCCTTTTGGTACATGCACTGACTTTTTTATACGCACTTTATCCCTTTTCGGAAAGAAGAATGATGCACTCGATGCTTGTTTATCGAAACGAGATTTCATGACATCCTGACGTGCTGAAACACGCTTCTGCAGTTGTTTAGGTTCACGGCCAGAAGGGGAGGGTTTCAGAACATTGAGGCGAGTACGCATTTTCCTCCCATGAAGCAATTCAAAGAGGGAAACACCTGTCACAGCATGAGGTGTAGCACGATAGATTTGCAGGAAGTCAGTTACTGTTTCTTTCCATGGTGCTGATTGTAGGATTGCTGATTGAATTGTACTTTTCAGAACTCTGTGGAAGCGTTCAATAGCTCCATTCGCAGCCGGATGATACACTGATGTGCGAATGTGCTTAATATCTCTGTTTTTCAGGAAAGCAGCGAACTCTGGCGAAGTAAACTGAGGCCCATTATCACTCACCAGAGTGGTCGGGTTCCCATGTCTGCTGAAGACGGAGGTAAGAAAAGCAGTCACCTGTTTTGTTTGCAATAGATGCAGTAAAGGCTACCTCAGGCCATTTACTATAGTAGTCAGTGAGTGTCAGAGCATATCGACAGTCCCAGACAGCAGTCTCGAAAGGACCCACAATGTCTATTCCCAGCTTTTCCAAGGTGCAGATGGTAAAGGAACAGGCTGGAGGGGCACAGCAGAGGTTTTCGCAGTTTTGTCCAGGGAAAGACATAACTGACAAGCGGTAATCTTTTGTTCCACAAGTGTGTCCATTCTGGGCCACCAATACATGTCACGCAGGCGTTGCTTTGTTCTTACAATCCCCTGATGGACTTCATGTGCAATGCGAATCAGTGACTCACGAAGTTCTCCAGGTACCACCAGTCTAGACCCTCTAAACACAAAATCAGCTTGCACACTGAACTCATGTCTCAGTTTGTAATACACGGGCAATCCACGGGCAATTTGTGTGCGAAGTGCAGAGAGTTCCGAACAACTAGCAGAGGCAGCAGCAAATTCATCCTGAGATATGGCAGTCGGACCAGTGGACAGGAAAGCAACAAATTCGGGCTCTGTATCTGGCTCAGCATCCGAAGTCAGAGGCAGGGGCAGGCGGGACAAACAGTCTGCAGTGTAATTTTGAGATCCAACACGATACTCAACAGTGTAATTAAAACAGAGCAACCGAGCAGCCCACCGAGCTATGCGCATGCCAGCTCTATCAGTCCCTTTTGTGGTCAGTAACGTCGTCAAGGCTTGATGGTCAGTCCGCAGAGTAAATTTGCGACCCCACAGGTATGTCCGCCACTTCTCCACTGCCCAAACGCATACCAGAGCCTCCTTTTCGACAGTGGAGTATTTTTGTTCAGCTGGGGTGAGTGTTCTGGATGCAAAAGCGACAGTACGTTCTTGACCATCAGTGCTTATTTGTGCAAAGACACCACCTAGTCCGTAGGCAGACGCATCAGTAGAAATGACCACTGGCAGCCCCGGGTCAAACAGTGCAAGAGCAGGACTGTTTACAAGTAGCTTTTTGACTTCAGCTAAGCTTTGTTGAGCTTCATCGGACCAATGAAATCCACTCTCATCTCTCAGGCAAGCACGCAGAGGCATCACTACGGAAGCGAAATTAGGAATGAACTTGTACCATGAGAGAAGACCCAGCAGGGAACGTAACTGAACAGCATCTGATGGCGCAGGTACATTGATTATTGCAGAGAGATGTTCCTGATCCAGCTGAATACCCTGTGATGTCACCATATGTCCTAAAAACTTCAAGCTCTTTTTTCTGAATTGACATTTAGACTCATTCAACACCAACCCAGCATCTTTGAGACGTTGCAGCACATTCTCTAGTGCTTGATCATGCTCCTGTAGCGAGCGTCCCCACACGATGATGTCATCTAGATAGTTCGCAAACATTCTGGAGTCCTTTTAGAATGACAACCATCATCTTTTGGAATGCAGATGGAGCGGATGCCAAACCATAAGGTACCCTGCGGAACCTGAAGAGACCCTCGTGCGTAACGAATGCGGTTAGGTCCCGGCTGTCGTCATGAAGAGGTACCTGATGATATGCACTTTCTAAGTCGATAGTTGAAAATACAGTTGCACCTTGCAGTAATGTCATCAACTCCTCCATGTGTGGCAATGGGTAGCTGTCTACTATAACTGCCCTTGTTGGGCCCTCGCAGATCCACACACATGCGGATGCCCCCTGTTTTCTTTTGGACCACAACAATTGGTGAAACCCATGGAGAGGAGTCAATTCTTTCAATTACACCAGCATGCAAGAGTCATTCCAGTTCGGCGGAAACAGCATCTCTGACAGAAAAAGGTAAGCGACGCAATTTGTGTCTGACAGGAGGAACAGAGTCAGAAATGTTTACCTTGTGTGTAAGTTTTTTACACAGCC